TATCTTCGCGAATAATCAACACGGAAAGCAAACCAGAAGTAGACAAAAAGTGTCGCGCGAAGTAATTAAAATTTCAATGACTCCGCTAAAAGAAAAACAAAAGTTTCTTTATACGCTGTGTGACGTGCAGACAATAAAAACGGCCCTCCAGACAATTCGAAGCCGAAAAATTGGCTCCGACGACACGCACCCTGCCAACGGAGGTTGGCCGATGACACCCTCTCCCCTGTACGGTTTCTAAAAACAGACAATATCAAACGGTTGCTCGTCTCCCCCTCCTCGGGTTCCCCCTGACTAATAGAGGTGAGAAGAATTGGAAAACCAGGACAGCGTTTCCAGACAAAATTGACTCAGCTGAATTTCGCAGCATTGTTCGCTCGCTCTTCGCCGGTCTGTCAATTGCCAGCAAGAACAGATGCAAAGAGAGAACACAGGAAAGAAAAGATATTGCAAAAGATTTACGATTCGAAGCACTAGCAATTTTAAACTTAATTCCTTCTAGTTTAGACGCAAGGCACGCACACGCAAACGAGCGCGTTAAACACGCAAACGAGCGTGTTTAATTAGCAGACAACTTGTTCGGGGGCATGGATACGGGGGCCTATGCAACTTCAGCCAGCCAGCCAGCAAATGAGCCCCCCCCCCCCCCCCCCCTCCCTTTTTTTCCCGAAATGCATTTGACCTTACGTTGATCTTTTGACTATCTAAAACATATATTACTCCCAGCTTGGTCGTACTCTGTGCAGTTTACCTGCTATTTCCTGATCTGCGAGTCTACTACCGCCCAAAATGATGGATCCGAGTTTTCCAGTTCGCCTCCTCCGTGTTGTTTCAGCACCCCTCATACGCGAATTGCTGGAGGCTGTTCGTGCACGTCGTTTCTGGATCATTTATTTCACTCCATCTCCAAAATACACCTTACTTCTTTTTAGCTACCCAGCCTTCGAATGAAGATCGTCTCATGTCACATTGCACTATACTTGAGTACTAGTCCAGCTTGCTTGGACGTCCTGTTTCGTACGCATTACTGTACCTTCAAAAGTCAAACTTGGCACCAAAACACTCTTCCAAACTTCCCTTACTACTTCACACCTGTCACCGCCATATATTTATATGTTCAAGGGGGTATTTCGTACCCTGCCGAATCCCTGTAGCACTTGTACCTATCGACGCTCTCAAACACGAGTTCTTTTCCCTTCATTTAGCATCAAAAGCCACGACTGCTATTTTTTCACTATTCTACTCTCCTCCTGCACTAGGTTGCTGCGTGAGCATTGGGCGGGAACTGGGCTTCAATAACACGCCTCGCGCTACAATCTAGTTTGCAAAGCCTCTGCTGTTTCCACCTTTAGCTCCCTTTGTGGCTTTTTTGGTCGAAAATACTAGTCTATTTATTCCCCTCTACACATACAGCGGGTTCCTGCACACTAGAGAAAACAGGCCAATTTAACGCCTCCGACATAGTCTCTTGTCGCACGCGAGGTACGAGAATATAGTGTTAATCCACGTTACTGTATTCTTGCGCAATGTTATTTTTTTTCACAGTCTCCGCGCATATTTCCCACGACTAACGGCCTCGCTAGGTCCTTCCTCTTGACAGTAATAAGAGTTCCGTACCAGGGGCTTTGTACTCTTGTACTCCCACGGACAATATGATGTGCAACAGCCAAACCGGCACGTTTCTTGCAATCCCCTCAACTTTCCATTATCCCTCAGTTCGTCAAAGAGTTTAAAGAAAGAGATCTAAGTTCCGTGTCCCATAAAACAGTTTTAATCGAAGCATCTCTTAAAACTGCCAGGTACGCCGCAGAATAACCAAGTAGTGTTGGAGCTCATATGGGTGGATGCTAATGGCTGTAACCCTTTATAAACGGTGGTAGGTTGCACCAGCTAGCCCAGAAACCAAAAGTTAATCTCCTCGCCATTCTAAGCCAATTTGCTTCCTATCTGCATATTTTTTTTTTTACTACTGTCCGCAATAGTAGTGTTGGGAGCCCTCAGCCAGAATTCTTATATGCTAGAAAGTTCACAAATCAGTAGGCATGACTCGGCGAAGGTCCCAGAGGGCCATGGGGCGCTCAAAAAGATAAAACCTCAGGAGGCGTTTACCCCAGGTAGCAGAAGGTCAAACGAGCAAAACAACGCAATCATGCCGAGAAAGCGCCTCCCTGTACAGTTCAGCAGCTGCCGTGCTGCTCAACTGTACAGGGGGTGGGGCCCAGTCAGTCGACTCACCTTTTGCCCCATCCTAAACTTTTGTCTAAAGCGAGCAATTTTGCAATTTTTTTAAATGCATTTTTGCTCGATGTGTCAGGGATCAGTAAAGCCACAGGTGTCCAGCCAAGCTGCGGCGAGGTCACCAAACCACCCAGCCATTAGGTTTAAAAATAGATCGTTTAATGTAGTTCCAGTTTCATTAAGCTCGTTTACATGATGCCAGGCAATTTATATTATTACGCAGATTGCCAGAAAACGCGTCATATTTAAAAGTCAGACTCCAATGAGAGTCAGAGTTGAACCTCTACTTTTACTGGTTCTTTGTAACATGTTGGGGTCTGTTTTGGCTGTAACACTGGGGACAAAGCTTTCGAGGTAACAAGGAACAGAGCATGTTGCAATGTATGTTGTTACATCTTTATCCAGTGAACTTCCGGCAAAGATGGACAATGTTTCACTTAGTACTAGACATTACCTGCACATGGATTAGATGGATGCATGGAATAAAGGTTTGCGGTTAACAAAAGAAAAATGTGTTTTTTTTAAATAAAACTTTAAATGTGCGTAAAGCTAAAATATCGAAAATTTATTATTTATTTATATCTTATCTGCATCTTGCTCCAATCGTTAAATGGTGCATGTTTTCCTTGTACTTTGTTTTCTACACCTAATGAAATGAAAATAAGCTTCTTGGTAATTGTACAGAGCACAAAAATGATTACACATTAATCTTATTTCGGTTTTATGGAGGAGGCTTAGGAAAAGGGTATTTTGAACTTGAATTGGTGCAACAAGGACGTGTCTACAAGCCGGGAGTGGTCACAAGTGGACAAATAAGACTAGGCCACACTGGAAGAATATTACAGCAGCAGCATGAACCTTTCTTCGCTTGTGCTTCAAAACGGCAGCTCTAAATGGTGATAACAAGAAAGAGTTCGATTCTCTGACATAAACGACGACTAAAATATCTATAATGCTGAAAAGAGAAGAAAATAGCCACAAAGATCCTACCGGCATGTGCTGCATTCACTGAACACAGTTCCACTATGTTTTGCAATTTCTTTCAAGCTGTAAGTAGAAAAATTCAGAGGTTCCAATCACGTGCGTGTACAGGTGTTGCTTGGTGGACTGATCATGAAAATGCAAGTATGGGAAGTTTGACTGCTCAGTAGCCATGTTCCGTTTAGAAGAGCTTCCACGAACTGAGCCAACATAAAACAGCCTGAAAGCCATACCTGTGCCAAACGAACGGAACCGTATGACGAGACAGAGCAACGGGCAAACGCAACTTCTGCTGTCTCTGAGACCGTATTCGATGCGGCAGGGAATGGAGCAGAGCCTTCCTTTCGAGGATGTTCATGAATTGTGAAGTATCTACACCCCACCCCCTCTCTCCCAAGCACAGACAAGGCAAGCAAACCTGAACCACATCGAGATATATGCAAGGCAGCATAATCACTGGATCGCTGTCACCAATGATGGAACTTGCAAGTATCGGCACACTTTGAACTCAAGTTCATTGTTTGTGTCGGCAAGTTACGTCACAGTCCAACCCCTGGCTGGTAGGACGTGTCAGATGGCATTCTTTGGTTTGGCACACGAATCTCCAAAATCTTACATTTTTAGAAGCTCTGGAGGTTTCTAGGGGCATCAAAATACTGTCTTTTTTTGCTCGATACTATATAGGCCAACCACAAAGTACTATGCACACAACTACCTGCAGTGTGTCCCAAGAAATGCCCATGGTTGTACAAACTTGCGGTTTGCCTCGAAAGAGCTTATCTGGCGATACACGGCGGCTTGCAGCCACTTTGTCTTAACCTTGACAGTGCTCCAGATACGCGTGCGCCCTTCAAAGCTATATATGCAAAGGTTCTACCCAACATTTTCAAAGCGCCATACATACAGAGTGCATTCCGCACTAGTGGCCTATCGACAAGGGAACAGCACCATATGATAGATTGCGCTTCACTGAGAGCTGCATACACAAGCGGGTCAATGACCGCGGTAACGTCCTACAGGCATTTACTGAACTTGGAAAATAATTCATGCTTCTGTTTCCTTCTTTTTGATTTTTTTACGCCCAACAGTGAGCGGTTTAGAGCCGATTTTAGTTCATTCTGACGTTTTCGGGTAAATCAAGCAGCGGCCGTCCCTCATCTCTTTCGGGCGTCGACCGATCGCCGGTCGGTCGGAGACGTGCAAGGGGACCCTCCGAGTCGTCGTCGCCGCGGGGAGATGGTCGAGAGCACGACGTAGGAGACGCACCGGGAGGAAGACGCTGGGCGTAGCGCGGCCGCAGCTGCCCGGCGCTAACCTAGTTCGGCGAACGCGGCGGCCCTCCGCGGGTGTCGTCAAAGGGGCCACCGGCGTGGCAGCCAAGCACCAGCGCCGTGCGAAGGTCACCAGGAACGAAACTCAGCGCTCCGAGCACACCTTGCCCGGAATGTTTTGGGAAGGGGAACCAGCCAGGGAGGCGTTTTCGGCGTTTCGGCTTCCGCGTCCGAGCGTCTCCCCCGACCCACGGGGTGTCAGGGTCCGGCCCCTGCTCTGAGCACTGCCTGACCCAAGTGGAAACTCGGGCCGAGTAGGCCGAACACGTCCGAAGGTCCCCAAAACGGGCCGGGCAGCTATTTTTCGCCCGAACCAGGAACTGATGCGGTGTCAATGATCGGTAGGGCGTCCCGCACGGCACTGACCGAGCCTTATTACCCTTTAAAAGTGCTCGGTTCGGAAGAGGAACACAATAGGAAGAGTTCCGAATAAAAAGGGTAAAAACTTACTCGTTCTTTTGCACGTCCGGCGTGTTTTTGGACGACCTTGGTAAACGAGCCACCTTTGCCGTCTGCCATGTTGGCTCACTACTGTAACTTCAAAGTATAAATAAAACTTTTGTTGTAGCTTAAAAATAAATGCTTTTTGATATAAATATTTAAAGTTTTTTAAAAAGTTTATAAATATATATTTACATTTGTTTATATGTTTAAAATTTTAATTTTGTATTTGGTGCGTGGCTAATATTTGGACGTCGCCATCATTACTCGGTGTTTCTCTCGCTGTGTTTCCAGAGCCGGTGAGTACTCGTTTCTGTGCGCGTTTTTCGTTCGCTCAGCTATTAAAGATCCCAAATTTATGTATAAGAAATTTATATACATGTTCTACGTGACGGTGCAAGTGCTTCGCGGTGGCGGTGATGGTATCGACGGTGTAGTCGAATCTTGAGAAGTTCCCGACGAGCGTTCGGGATGTTGGCATCTTCCGTCGACTTCTCACGTCTCAAATCGGTGACAAGCGCTCGAGTCAGCTCAGTCCGCATAGAACTTCATACCTTCGCGTTATTTCTCGGCCGTCTCCGCAAATAATGTGAGCTCGGCAAAAAATTCCAAAGCTAGCGTAGGCACCGATTTGTTTGAGCCCCACTACGGCGCCTCGCTACCGCTGTGGCATCTGGATGACGAGCCGGTTTGCGGAATAATATTCATTTCCAGTCAAGACCTCACATCCTCGGATTATGCGCGATATGACCAGCACCTGTTTCGTCTGCATTGCTGTCACTTTTCTCACCTGCTCACCTACGGGGCAGGGTAGAATGTGGGACACCTGACAAACGCTACAACCCGTGCAGTACCGATCAAATTACAATATTAAACGCAACATGAAAAGAAGAAAAAACCATCGGGCACAGTTTGCTTTATTATTTTTGGATTCGGCATGAAAAGAGTTGCAGCGGTTAAGGCACTCGAAGAAAAGAAATGTTACATTCCTCGGCGTCAATCGGAAATATAATAGTTTGGCGAGATCACAAAATGAAGAGCAGTTGCAGTCACTAGTTGCAGCGTGCAGTGATATCAAAGCCACAGGTTTGACAGAGAAGAAAGCTCCTTTTGTATGAATTTTGTGGGGGGCTAATCTCCAAAGGGATACACAAAAGAGAGAGACCCTCCTTTTTCTCTTCCTCTTAACTGCTAACGTTAAGGCTCTCAACCTGTGCCTTATGTAATGCTGCATGCCACTAGAGAGATAGAGAAATACAAAAACAGGTTCGGAGAGGATCACTGTTATTGCTCCCCATTGTGGAGGTTGTTGGAATTGTTGACATGCGAACCCCCTCCTGAGCTACTCTGCAGTGAAAGTACGGTGCCTGGAATGCATCCCTGGAATGCATCCCTGGCCGGAGTGTTAACCGCGGCGTCTTCAATTTCGCTTCCTTGACTTCCGCCTCGCAACGTCACGCTTGCGTCATGCTGTTGACTGCCGCAGTCGGCGCTACAGAAACAGAAGTGGGCACGGCAGACGCCTGTTTCATTGCCACTTTTTCTGTGGAACAATTGACGGGAACTAAAAACGGTCTTCTTTGGCGGAAGTTCTGTGAGAAACTGCCAGGGTTGCGACGTCGAACAGCATGAATGCCAGCTCCCGTAAGGAAATTTGTTGCCACTTCGAGACCGCTTCACATACGGGCAGTTGGAGGCGGTAAACGCGCCGGTCAAAGGTGCATTCCAGATGCCACGGCACAAGGTGACGCTGAATGAAACAGTCTTTCAAAAAAATGCTGCGAGCTCCTGCTCGTAGCTTTCGTCCGAAGGAAACCATTAAAGATAAAGTCCCCCTTATCTCCTCCTGGCTAGGTGGCGCTAGCTACTGCACATTATGAGGGGTACCGCTGTTAGCATCTATTCAACGTCCATCTATCCTTCTGCAGCAGCGAATGCATTAGCAAAAAATTTGCGCGTTTCACGCTAACAGGTATGAGGGAGGCGCAGTAAAGAGTTAATATGGAACTTTGAAACCGAAACAAATGGTGTTAGCGGAAGTGTTGCAGAAAGACGGCCGCCAGCATTCCCACGCCGAGGTTGTCTGTGCAGTGCAAGATGGTCGCCGAGGACGTGGAGATGAAGAGTGCGGACAGTCCTGCGGCAGGCGCCGGCGGGGAGCTGGAGCCCGCAAAGGCCGACCCGGACACACTGACCATCGAGGGTGAAACGTGTTGCTCTTTTCTCCGACCCACCCTATAACCGTGAATTCATATTAGTTTATTTTGCCACAAACAGTACATTTGTGACAGGGAATGTCGATGTGTCTGCCACCTTTACAAGCTGAGCACTCTTTACGGCCCTAACACGTGTCAAACTGGAGATTGAGCATTAGCAAAACGCCTTTGTTGAAGAAATTCTGTCTATTTAGCTTAAAAGAAATGAAAAAGCTACAGTCATGTCTCGTTCATAAGGATCCCAATAATACAAATACCCTTCTATACAGAAAGAATTTTCGAGAACAAACTGGGTAAATATATCAATTTGTTTTCTTTTTATTATCACTGATTGGTGGGGTGATTCGAAGTGTCCATATTAAAAAGGCATTACTGTACTACTTAGAGCTCTGTGGAATTAGGATTTCCAGCTTGTGTTGGTGTGAGTATCTAGAAAAATGACTGAGGTTTCCCAGAAATACTTGCACATTGTATACTTCTCTATTTATTTTTGGTAAAGAGGGCATAGTTCATAACTACAGACAGTGCCGCAAATTTGTATGCATATGATGAGAAACAACTTGGGCATTAAGTGACCACATCAAGAGTTCACTTTCTATACGCTCAAGCATGGAAAGTACACTGGTTTCAGATTTTGTGTCCTATTCTTTCTGTGAAAAATCAACGAAGCCAGAGTAGTGCCTTCTTAAGACAGGTCTGGTGAGGAAGGCAACATATCTGTCAGGAAACAACCACTGCAGCACTGAGGGGGATGAACAGAATTGCCAAGCGGTTAGATGCAAACAACTGCAGATCGAGGTACAAGCAGTGCGACCTTTATTTCTTTGAAACTAAAATTGCATGTTTGTACAATTCCCAGTAACTTGTTGCAACAACTTACTTTCTTGCGAGTACTTTCACATTATCTTTCGTAAATGGAAATTAGGCTCGTATCTTCACTGCGTAGCTCTCAATTACAAAATCGTACCGTTGCGATTCATTCCACAGATTTCATTGTATGAATGTTTGATTCTAAGAAGAATAGACCGATTTCACCAGCCAGTTTGACTATGCCACCGCTGCCGCAATGCATCGAGGGAACTTTAGTCTTTCTGCACATGCGACAACCCCACAAGAGCTCTGCGCGTGTGGAGCACGAAACAACACGAGCCCTAGCATGCACGGCCGTCTGCCTCCTGTGAACTAAAGTTATGGCGGTGTCACGCATACGCCAAACGCTTAGTGAAATTGGTCTATTATTTCCAAGGACTCAAGAAGTAACACTGAGGGGTATTTGGGTTGCTTAAGGCTAAGCTATTCTGTTTTTTCTCCTTCGAAGTCACCCCGGTGGCTCGGAAGGGGCCTCGAAAATAAGAAAATAAATAAATCTGCCAGGGCCAGTACTTGTGAAAACCAAATACCAGGCGGTGCTTTTTTGTGTCACCATCTCCTCTGGCAGGTACAGTCAATCACGATTGTTAGAGAACTCGAGCGAGCAAGAAAGCACTGCCTCCACACCTAGAAGCATGTAGCTCACATGGGGCAAAGGTTTCCGGCGTGGATTCCTCCAATATTTCTGTTCGGAACTGCGTCGCTCGAAACCTCCCCATAGGATGTGGTTTAAACAGGATTGTGTTTGCACTCACGAAATTGTTACCCATTCTGGCTTGCCCGGTAGTGCCCGGGTTTCCGCGGTAGTTAGTGATAAGATCCCGGTACGATGATCCGAGCCACTGTCCACCACTAACCGCGACGGGGTTCCACGGCCCCCTCCGGGCAGCCTAAGCGTGGCATAGTCTTGCAACATCTTGAGGAGGGTGCACTCTCTGTCGCGCAGACATCAAGGAGCATGCGCGGCACATTGAGAAGGCGGTGAACAGCAAGGAGCCCCGGTTCATTCTGCGCATCCTGCGGGCCCTGATGCCCACCCGCAAGCGGCTCAACGCCAAGGTGATGCGCAAGATCGTCTCCGGCTTCTACACCCACTCGAACCAGAGCAGGGACGCACTCCTGGCTTTCCTGGACGAGGTGGGACGCATTCGACTCTTCTTCTCGTCCTATTCGCGAGGGAGATGGCCGACGCCTCTTGGGCGGCGAGGCGGACGTGCCGGATTTTGGCGTCCCGAACGAGTGCCATCGCGGCACTCACGTTTAATCCGCTCCCGCGACTGCCTCCAGTAGGTGACGTAGAAATTTTGGCCCTACGGCCTCCTCATCCGTGCAGTATCGAGCGGGCGCAGTGTTACACCGGCGGCGCCCCAAATGATGCTACGCAGTACAAGGGGCATGGTAATTGTGTTGCGTGTACATTTAGTCGGCCTCGGTGGGCATCCGGCGTCTCGGCCGTAGACGAGAAATTTAGCCGGCACGATACCACCGCCATCCTGGGGTCTCTAGAGCTCATTGCGGAGTAGTGATGAACAACCACAAACCTGTACGACGCTTGTCCGAATCGAAACTGGCAGAGGCGAGGATTGAACCCGGGATCCCCGAGTCGTGCGACGCAAGCTTTCGCTCCGCACGCTCCGAGCTGTGGTGCGTGGCCACCGATCCCATTGAAAGACACAATAAAGCGGTAGTTGAAAGTTTAAGTTAAAAAAAGTGAAAGCCGTTTACAACTTCCTGTAACGCCGAATTGGAGCGCAGCTCTTGAGGAGGAGGAGTGGAGGGTATATTCCTCCTCCTCCCTCGTGATCATGCCTGCTAGTCCTCCTCCCCTCCTTCTCCCCCTCCCTCTCCTTTACCACCTTTACCGGGCGGGGGAGGAGGAGGAGCGGAGGGGGAGGAGGAGGAGGGGGAGGGGCGACGCCGACGCCGCACAGGCTGGAAACGGGTCATGTGACCCCCTTCCCCCGAGGTCACGTGACCCGCCCGGACCATACTACACAATAAGGGGAGGAGGAGGAGAGGGAGGGGCGCGGTTACGCCGACGGCGACGCCGACGCCGCTCAGGCTGGAAACGGACCCCTAAGAGCTGCGCTCTAAAACCAGTCGGGTTACTATTCTAGGGGAGAGCTTTTAGTGGCAACACCGAAGCTAGAGGCAGTTACTTACGAAATAGTTTCTGTTCTGGTTTCATCCCCGGTGCGAATTGTCCACCGGTCTCCGCTCTGGCATGAAAGGGAACTGGGAACGGTGGTTTCTGCTGTAGTGGCTGATGCGGTGAAGATGGCTTTCGGACGCCTCCGTCGAAGGTAGAAAGCTCGCACTGGATGCTGGACAGGCGAAGCTGCCCCCTGCTGTTTTTACTGTCTGCGACTGTTGGGAGTTTGCAGTACAAATGTGGTTGGGACGAAAGCCTAGAGGGAGGTACACTAGAACCCTGTCAATATGTTTTTTGGGGGACCTAGGAAAAGCCCACGATCCAGGAAAACCTAACAATCGACGATGTTTTTAGGGACCTACAAAAGAGATACAAACTCTTACGCACCAATTTATTAAAGCGTGAAATGCTTTTTGAAGGGGAGTTTCAGCGTCAATTTGAATGTTTTCAATTAAACATATTTTCTGAAAGCGCGAGAAATTGAGCGTAGAGCAGCGAACAAATTTTCCAAAAACTGTTTTCATTAAATAAATTTTAATCATAGAAGTACGGTGAAACCGAAACTAACTTGCAACTTTGCCGGTTTGCCAGCTTGTCGCAACGTCAAATTTTGTTTAAACGGCACATGGGCAGCTTGAGCCTGTTTCACCCTGCATCAGAAGCTGTCGGAAGGCCGTCGCGATTGTCCCTGGGCTCGACAGGCTCGACAAATTGTAATAAAGTACAATTTGTCGAGCTTGTCCGAATCGAGCAAAGACGACCAAATGTTTCTAGATATTCGGCGCAAGATTTCAGACGATTCGACATTCACACTTGATCCACCGACATCGCCTCCAGGGGGCAACCTGTTGCGGCTGCTTTCGCGATGCGCCGACATGTGGACTCGGATGTTGCTTCGGAAACAGTGTGGTATGGAAGGCCTTGTTTTCAGCGCAGTGGAAATTTTTTTAGCTCGACGAAAACGGTGGTACATTGACTGCTTGGACCCATTTCTGTCCTTGAGACTTCTCGTTCGAAAACCGACGAAATGCCACTACGCTGCAATTCTTGTAGGTGGTATTGCACCCCACAGCACATCAAAAATCCCCCCCCCCCCCCTTTTCTTTGCATGCCGCGAATAGCCTAAACCAGACACAATTCACCAAACCGCAGATGCTCACTATCGCTACAACTTGCAACGCCGAGGAGAGGGGAGCGTCTGCTCTGGGATGCAACACTGGACGTCGCGAGCGATCCTAGTTTTGTCAGCAGGGTGGCAGCCAGTGATCCAGAGGGGTTGTACGCGTAAACTTCAGAATTTCTTTTCTCAAAAAAAAAAATTAACATTTTGATGAGGTATTTCTTGGACATACTCATATGTTTAATGCATGGTGAAAATTTTATACAAATAGATGACCATCGATATATCCCAAATTTTTGCCCATCCGTGTGTGCCTTTTCCGCTAAATTTAGCGAGGAAATTGGCGTCATGTGACGTATAAGCCAAGTGAAGAAATTGTCACGTGACTTAAATGTCAATTCAGTTTGCCCGCTAAATTTAGCGGGAAGTTCATGTCTTGTAAACCCAACACAAATTCAGTTTCCGCGCTAAATTTAGCCGAAAAATTTACGTCACGAGGCCTTTACATCAATTCAGTTTCCCCCCCTAAATATAGTGGGAAAATTGACGTCACCTGACCTAAGCATCAGTTCAGTTTCTCCGCTAAATTTAGCAGGGAAGTATATGTCACGCGACACACCAATTCCCTTGCCTTATTCGTATCCTCTTCCCCCTCTTTCTTTCACCATTCCTTCGTTTCCCTCCCTTTCCCCGTGTCGTTTGAGACACCGATTCAGTCTCATTTCTCTCTCCTCTCTTCTCTATTCCTCCTTCTCCCAATACTTGTTCTCCTTGCTGTCCTCCAGTTCACTCTCCCCCTCCCTGGTCACATGACACATCAATTCAGTCTCCCCAAAATTGATATGAATATAGCAGTGATGTGATTGCTGCGGCAATTGCGCCAAACTGCGCCAAGGGGCTAACCCTGCTACATCCTGCTACATTTCGCCAAAATATGGCTAATCTGCGCCAAGCCTGCGCCAAAGGACAAATTTTGGTCGCCTTTCAAAAACGAAACTAAACTGAAAACCGCAATTGAGCATGCGTGAGCTTGGTGGCACAAAAGACGCCGCCGGACACAAAGTACCCTACATCAATTGCTATTCGGTCTTGCATGATTTTTCCCGTCGTCTCGCGTTTCGCGCTCTCGCCGTCTCGGAAATCTCATCTCGCGTCTTTTTTTTTTTCTTTTTTTTAATTTTTTTCGCGATAGACGCGTGCGTGTGCACACCCTCCAATGTTAGTGTGCCGAGTGCCAAACATGCCGCGTGGCGAGAGTTAAGGTATGTTTATACTCAAACGTAACGTCGACGGGCGTGGCGTAGCGCAGCCCGCACAGATACGGATTGGTCGCAGATATCGAGTTTCTGGTTGCCGGCCAATGAACGGCGCGCGTTCTGCGCTACGCTGCGTTCACTGCGCTCAACGTCGGAGTATAAACAGCCCTTTACTTGCGCGGCGAGAGTTATTTCGTGAGCTGAAGCGCTCGCGCGACCACAGTCGCCGTGGTCGCGCGACGTCGTATGTGTCCATCCCCACGTCGCTGCAGATATGGCGCTTTCTAAACTGAAACGCATCGACCTTCCTGCTCTTGTTTAAATCATACGCTGCTATAAAAATCTCTCCTTAACTCAATGACTGCTTGGCAAAGTTTTGATTACCTAGGTTTTTCTCGATAAGCTTTCTTTCGAGAGGGACCCCAGTACGTGAGAAATCGGCCGCGAAAGAAAGTTGATGACGAGAAGTGAGCTAAAGCAAAGAAGGCAATGCCTGCACGCTGAACCCGAACATTGCGCTTGTTTGTCTCGAGTTCAGTCGTTGCACCAATTTAAGCACTCCAAAAACTTTTTTACCCTGATTCGATCGCAATGTCTTGCATCGATACGCTCAGGTTCTTTTTTTCTGTGTGTTTAGCCTGTACCTCGCCTGTCGGCCTGGCAAGCACGCACCGCTGGACTGTTTATTGTCGTATGCTGGACAGTTACATTTTGCATACTATTTTGGGAACCAGTTGGCGACAGAGCGGAGTGGCATGGTTTCGGTTTCGGTCGAACCGCCGTTGTCTCCGCTCGCGTGACGAAGCACGTGTAACTGCAAGCCTGCCGAAGTTGCCCTCACGAGCAGGTGAACATGATTGCACGAGAGGCACCAGCCGGGACGCTTGCAATCAATTGTTTTACATTTGCTTACTTTTTATAAAAATCTGCCACGTCTGGAACCAGTAAAACAATAGCAAGTGTTCTTTTTTATTTTTCGGAGTTGCTCGGCAACGCCTACAGCACTGTATACTTGTGGGATGTCTCAGCAGCAAACACACAGGCAGCGAGTTCCGCCCCAACACGTCACATCACAACACAACACATAGTGCCCTTCGTTTGTCCAGCACTTAAAACAAATACAATAAAATCATCTGATGGGCTAGTTGGGTAAACATAATTAAAAAATAGTGCAAGGACGACGGAGGGAAGAACAAGAGACAGGAAAGAGCGCTAACTGACAACTGGCGTTTTATTTACAAGAGAAAAGAAGACGAAAAGAAGTGAGACAATTCAAAGACAAACAAACAAATATTTATTTTTCTAAGAATATATTCTCCAAAAGTCACTTTTTTAGCTTCGAAACACTGTTTTGGCTGCTCCAAAAACCACTTTTGCTGCTCCAGAACTCTGTCTTGACTGCTCCAAAGGCCACATTTGCTGCTCCAAAACACTGTTTTGGCTGCTCCAAAAGGTGCTCCAAAATGGCTTTGGCCAATCACATCACTGATATAGGCTCTTCACTCCCGGAACAACTGTTTAAAAGGGCACTGACAGGCCACAATAATTCTCTTTTATACTATCCGAAACAATTGAAAACAATACCATGACATTACCCTCAAAATTCGAAACTTGGCAGCTCGGTATTTGTGAAGTAAAACAACAGTTTCCAAAAGCCGAATTTGAAGTTTCCGCGCAATTTGCCCCAGTGCAGTGACGTCAAAGATTGAGTCGTCCTACCAACTCGAGTTTCTCTCACGCTTCCAAGCCGTCCTGACCCGAAGTGTCGTGGTCGCCTGCGTCCTGCAGATAACCGCTCTCTTCAGTGTTCTGCTTATCACTGTGAGCAGACGATGCGTGACTGTCGAGTTTGAAGTTCTTTTAGAGCCTTTTGAGTGATCTCAAATTCTTTGAAACGGTACGAGGTCGAAAAGAACGCAGACTGAACCTTTGTTAGCGACGTGAGGAGCCACGTCACGCCGGTTCTGTATAAAAGGTTGCCTTGGCGGAGTTACAACCGAAACTACGGTACACAGACATCAAACCGAGTTGTTTCGACCGTTTGACGATTTCCTTTTTGAAGTCTGAGAGGCCGTCGGGCACCTAAAAAAGAGAACTTCGCCCGATTCCCCGACTCTCCGATCATCCCCAGTGCTACATGTGCGAGCGCCACAGCGCCACCACGTTTTCCGTAGAAGGATAAAAAGCCAGGAGGCGACATCACTCTGGACTTCGATTTTCGGTATTTCAAAAAGAAGGGCCGTAGTGCATTCGCAATTGCATTAAAAAACATGTTTTATGTTTGCCGTTATTAAATATAAAAAATGTCACTTACAAAGCTTCTAAATCTTGTAATTTTAGACGTCACAAATAAAAAGAAGCAAGGAGGTGAAAAGAGGGAGAGGAAAAAGGGGCACGCACGGATGGGAAAAGATTTTTTGCATTTTGGTATTTTTTTTGCGTGTCTATGCCTACAACTTGCATCATCTTAGACAACATCAATATGACCTTTAGGCTGTCAGTGCCCCTTTAATGTTTATCAAGCAATTCATTCGCTTCTAAATAATGCATTTTAGGCATTATAGAATTTTAATATTGAAGGACAATGCAAATTATCTTTATGTGGATTTTTACAACTACATCATTTCAAATGTTGGTCAACTTTTTTCGTTCTGAACTTCTTTTAAGTTACAAGGGCAATTATTTTTATGTGGCTGCCGCCCAACGTCTCTTGAGTAGTGGAACTTCTCATAGTCGCTGCATTCGAAACCGCATCGGATGTTTTGTTCCTCAGTTCTGTGCTTTCAATACATTGAAATGCATGAGCTCCCGGACTGCACGTACACCTTGGCCAAACTCTCTCGTGAGTTCATTACTACCAGAAATGAGAGTGATTTAGTTTGTAAGCCCCAAATTCTAGTCTCAGTGAATCAAGAGTCCAAGCTCTTTACCGAGTTCAGGAGTTCAAGTGATTCCCTTAGTGTGAATTTGTGAGATTCAGTGAGTGCCTGAAGGTGTGTGCGAGTGAGTTGCGAGTTTTAGGATGAAGGAAGGTCAATTCACCATTATACTCCGCGACAACTTTTCTTGGCAATGCAGTGGAAGGTACAGGCCCGCGTCCCCTCTCCCATTTTGAGTGCACGCAGGCTCTCCTCCTCCCCCATTTCCGGGGAGAGGAGGAGAGCCCGCGCACACTCAAACTGGGAGAGGGGACGCGGGCCTGTACCTTCCACTGCATTGCCAAGAAAAGTTGTCGCGGAGTATAGGTATCCGAATTCTCGGTTTGGAAGACTTTTGGTACGAAGTTGCATGGGCATGACCAAAGGGCAAACATTCCTTTCAGCATTGAAGTTAGGAACTGTTGGCCCTTCAACCTAGGATGACCTTGACCAAACTCTTGTAACGTCGCTTTCAAGCCCATTGTGGCTTATCTTTTGCCCTCGAGTTCTAACAGAGAATCGTCTCCTTTCCCCTTCCTTACGGCACCCTACGTTTCCTCAAGCTTCCTACCAAGATATTCTAGAACTGTGTCTCCAACAGGGGGCCAGGTGTCTGGGAAAGTGGCGAATTTTCACTTTTGAGCCAGTCACAAGTTTGTCGGAATTCGGCCCTAAATGAACGCCTCTCTCGGTGCCTCCCCGCAGCCCATGGAGACAGAGGCCAAGGAGGGTCGCATCCGCAGTGCCAAGACGTCCCACCTGCCCCTGCTGCCAGAGCTGGACGTCTACATCCACCTGCTGGTCCTCGTGCACCTTATCGACTCGGAGCGCCTGGACCAGGTAGGACCCCGGAAGCACCAGAGTCCAGGTCTCACCTGCACAATCTCAAACGGCCGAGGGCACTCGTGCCGGGACGTACGGTAGAACCTCGTTAATTTCAAGTTGGTCGGACAGTGAAAGGGATTCAAACTGAGCAACCTTTCTTACTATCAAGTAAGAAAAACGAAATGACAAAAACTGTGGGAAGCCACGTTGTGCAAGGTTGAATCAAACATTATGTGAAGAAGAAGACACAATTGTACGACATTACTGCACAACTGTTGCACTTTGAATTGACATTGTTGCACTCCACGAAGCCGCGAACGACAATCTACGACAAACTCCTAGAGCGAGGGTCCGACATGGCTCGTCGCTGTTATCGCTCGCGGCTGTCGTGGTTTCACTTACTTGACTTTCAGATCCCCTTCTATGTCTGCGTAGCAGGTGTGATAATTTTCTTTGATGTTCGAGTACTTGGAGAAGCTCATTCCGACAGGCTCACCGTTTCTGTCATTTTTGGTCGTGCGGGTTTGCTACGAAAGTTGGATGTGCTTCTTCCGCCGCGAACCCGCGTGCGGGATTATCTAATTCTCGAGGAAAAATGCTTACTTCCACACACCACAGTGGCATGGGGTGAAAAAGAGGGACGGAGAGTTCGAGTTAAATGGGCGCCGTAAACGATGCCTAAGCGCTGAGGGTCCGAGGAAGTTGGAGACTGTTTAGTTCTTGGACTACCAATTAGGAAACGGCTGGTGCCACATTAGTTTTTGTTGCTGAAATGGAATGTCAAATAAGAGAGAACTGTTGTAAAATACAGGGCAAGTGCCCGCTCCAAATTTCAAGATAATAGCGAAAAAAACGGGGGATGGCACTTGTCCAGTCATCAATTTTACGTCTAAATGTACCGTCCGTGTTTTCTCCGATTTTACAAATTTGGGAATGGGCAGATGTGCAATATTTTGTGGTAGCTGGGAAAGCACTTGCAGGCTGCTCATACTTTCCTTTCCATTCATAGTTTTGCGAAAAATTATGGGACGGTAAAAATTATTTTACTTATCAGGGATTTTGGATAAATTTATATTGATTTATCGAGGGTTTACTGTAAGATCAGTGGCATTGTATAAAAAAAAATGGTAATAGCAGTCATTTATGTCTTGCGGGGGTGACGTATTCCGTTCTTTAAAAAGTGGCCCTTAGCGGTCACAATAACACGCAGAGGCCCACGTCGACTCTCGGAAGTGACTCGATCCCCCGTGGGGGTCTCTGCAGGCAGTAAAGTGCTCCGACCAGCTAATGGCCAAGATCCAGGCCCAGAACCGAAGGACGCTGGACCTGCTGGCCTCCAAGTGCTACTTCTACCACAGCCGCTGCTACGAGCTCACGGGCCAGATGAGCGCCATACGCAGGTGGGTCTGCCCGGGCATGCTTGGGGCTGTATCCCTCGCTGTCGGCAACAGCGGGACCTCTTCGTCGCTACGAGGAGGGGAAACAATGTTTTTCCGAGGAGGACCAGAGGTGGACGATGCCTCTCTTCACTCAACGGACAGGCTCCCTAAAGTAAATGTGCCTGACATCTTGGGAGGGTGGAGTGTATCTTTGTCTGCAAGCACGATAGCAGTGGTGGATGTGAAATCCGACGGAGTGTTTTTTGCGTCTATCTTGTTGCAATTGAAAACATTTTTTGAATCTAAACCTCCCAAGATGGTTGAAAGCTGCTTTTCTTTCTGTTGCTTCCCAGTTGCTGCTTTGTCAAGTGGTTTCTTTTCTCCGGTCTGCTCGTAGGATGCTAGGGCGAAGTAGTGATTTCAGCTATTTGGTTCTTCAGCATGATAAAACAGCACAAAGAACATGGAGGAAGAGAAAAAACAGTGCTCTTTCGTTCTACCTGTCCTTTTCTCTTCCTTTGTGTTTTGTGCACTGTTTTATCATGTTGATGCTAGAGCACTTGAGTGCTTTGGGATTTGAAGGGACAATGAAGGCAATTTTATTTACCATTTCTTGAAATTACCCCAGACTGGTGCGAAAAAGCTAAGAAGCATCAAAACATGGAAGAGAAAGGCAAAGTGATAGGAAGACAACAAGGAAGACAATTGAGACGGTGTCTTCCTATCACTTTGCCTTTCTCTTCCACGTTGTCGTTTTGATGCTTTTTAGTTTTCTTGCCCCAGTCTCGGGTAATTTAAAGAAACGGTGATGTTTCACCAGGTTGCCTGCGCTTTCACTGTTATTTCATTGATTTTATTTAATTTTTTGAAATTGTGTTTTTAGGCTTCTTGGGCACCTAAGCACGCAGCCTAATTTTTTGTAGACATTTGTGACGCATATTTCTGTGCCTACGAAAGAAGTAAAGAAACCAAAACTGAGCTATCTGCGTTTCTCATTTCTGGGCCTCTGAAAACGGAGGCGACGTAGGGAGTGGCGTCAAGTGTGATTAGTCGGTATCGGTAGTATTTAGGAGATCGAGACTCTGGTTACCACGGAGGGTTATAGCAGTGCGGTGGCGCAGTCGTTTCGTCGAATCTGTCAACATGGACGGCAATGCCGCTCTCGTGAGCGAGTTCGAGCTTCCGTTCAGTGACCTAACAATAACGGAACGGGAGTATGTGTTTGGCGGGCTTCGCCATCACCTGACGGAGACCACCCAGCCGGCAATGAGCGGCCAGCAGGCTCTGAAGCAGTGAGCAACATTCGCGCGGGCAAGACGAGGGCGGCGCATTGCCGAAAGACAGGGGAAAGCGGCAGCTTTCCCCTGTCTTTCGGCAATTCTAAGGGGAAAGCGCTTTTTGAGGGGAAAGCGGCAGCAATTAAGCCATTCCGGGAACCGGTTCCTCCGCGGGGGACGCTCCCTAAGAAGGAGAAAATAAACAGCACCATTTTTGGTTTTCACCAAAGTCAGACATCCTCTCTTTTCGTCGTCAAAGAACACAAACAGCAACCCACACGTGAAAACTAGTGTCGCCCGAACGAATACTGGTCTTCAGTCGACCGTTAGAACAGCCATCTACAGCGCACGAATTTGGCATGACTACCATTTTGCGGAATCCTTGGAGTACCGCGTTCCCAAAGTAAACACGACACTGACATCTAAACCAAAACTAAATGCCTCCTGAGTGTTTTTTTTTTATTTTATTTTGTTTGCCCATAGTTGCTCGTTGCCTGTTTTGCGTCGAGCGTAGCAAAGAGAAAAACAATTATGTTGTTTTATTTACGGTTTAGTAATGATTTTCGGTCCGATTTATGCTTTTCATGGTTATTCAAGCGCAAATTTGAACGGTATTCCTAAAAGTTGTGAACCAAAGCGTGACCGAGGGCTCGTCTCTCGTCTCTTGCAGTAGGCTCGTGCAAATGTTCGCCACTTATTATTACCTTTAGAATGACATACTACTATTCTATTTCATATCTTCACGAAACACTGGTAGCACTCGGAAGTTTTGCGATGGCGGGTTAGTTAGATCCTTTGAGCGCACGTCTCAGTGCACACTCATGCACTGCAGTGAAATGGCACACGCGGAGTAGGTAGACATCGCAAGTTCTGCATGCCTCGTTTTTGCCTCAGCTCGCCCGCTTGCTGCGGAGGGAAAGTCTGTCCGGTGGGATAGTGCTCACACTCGTGTTGGGTATCTGGAAACAAATAGGAAGTTTGTGAATGCTGACGTGACAACTGGACTTTCCAGATAAAATGTTCCTAATTAATATTGCGCAATAGATTGTGACATCCTGACACACTCTGTATGTCACTGGTCTTTTTTTTTTCTTTTTCAATATTTAAGATTGGAGAAAGGATAGTATAGTGAGAGAATTTATGTGGGCTATGCTGTAGGCTTTGGCCATCTTTATATAGGCCTGCACCTATTCCACGGGCAGAGTTAATAGTGTAAATTCAAACTCAATTAGCTTGAGCAGCAAAACGGAAGCTTTGGAATACCCTAAACGAATTCGGCCGGATTTTGGGGAGGCGGACAAATTTATAGTTTGCATGCCGAGTTTTTTTCGTCATTAAGCTCTGTATGCGAAAAGTAATCGAAATTTCTAATCCAATTGTAAAATTTGTTTTTTTTGCTAAATTAGGAATAGTGTCGATATATTGCAACCTTTAAACCTTGAACAAAGCATCATTTTGGTGCTCTGAATCATTCTATTGTACCTATTTCATATATGTTTTCGATTCTACTCCTAAAATGAACATTCCCAGACATGGAAGGCAAATGGGACATTGTTTTTCCATTTCATTTCGTGGATTCGTAACATTTGGTGTGGTTCATTTGTGGTGCTTTGTTGTGAAATATACAACTTTTTTTTTTACTTCATATTCAAGCAAGCAGTGATTAACCCTTGCCTTAAATAGGTGGCTGGCAATATTGCACAATAAATAAATGCAAAATACTTGTAAATCTTATCATAGTATTTGTTTTTCGAATGAAGGAGAATGAAGTGCACGTTCTTATACCGAAAATTATTTTTGCTGCTCAAAAATGGGCTTTTAACCACTTCGAAAGGTGCTCCAGAATTACTCGAGCCAATCGCATCACTGCATATGCATACAGATATTAATTTGCTAAGTGCCAAGACTGCATCAATGACAGGCAGTGCAGAAAGCCTACATCCCTTGTAAATAATAATGCACGTACAGTGGAACCTCGGTTATTCATTGGCAGCCATAACTGGGTACCTAGCTGCTCTGCATGTGCTGACGGCCAGCTTCCACGGAACTTTTCCAATGTGTATTCTGCACCGTCGAGATTGCCGGCCTTGGGAAGCTATGAGTATGAGCTTGTTTTAAGTATGCCCGGTGAAGAGTGCACTTAAAGGGACACTGACACCCCCCAAATTTTTTTTTTTTTCATTTTTTGCCAGGCGCTTTATTATGGTGTCGGAGGTCTACCCAATTAATATTTTGCAACAGAGTAGCGTATTTTTTTAATAAAGCCAAAAGACGCAACTGCTCGAAACCGAAACCGAAACCCACGCACGGAGGTCGGAGAAGTGGAGAGAAGAAAGTGAGTGGCGGAAGTCACGTAGCTACACCCGACCGAGCGTTGTTTTTTTTTTTTTTCTCCTTTTTGTAGCAGACGACATGCGGCGTAGTGGGAACTGTTTGCCGCGCGATTCTTTTGCAGTTATGTTTGTTCCTCTCGCTGTTCTGTACTCCAAGATGAGTTGTTTTGTACACTGAGGAGTTGGAGATGAGTAGTGAGTCCCCGTGGTGAATTTCCATGATCGGCTCCGAAAAGAATACACCCAAGATGTTGCGTGAAGAGCTGGCTCACATTTCCTGAATCCGAAAAAAAGTGGCATTGTGCGACAGAGTTTCCGAAAGATCAACGGGATCGGGACCAATTGCTGGCTGCAATTCCTGTAGAACATTTATGGGCACCTCGGAAAGCGGACGCTACCCGATTTATATGCTCCTTGCATTTTGTGGAAAGTGATTACATTGAGTTCGAAGGTGTCAAAAAGGAGATCCCATACCATTTAATTCAACGACGTGTCGTCCACAACATTTGTTTGTTATTTTTTTTGTCTGTTTCTTCAGTGATAATTATAAAAATAAAAGAAAAACTGTAAACATAAAAAAATTTTGAAAAAAAAAAAAAAAAATTTCATTGGGAATTGAACTTTGTCCTACCTCGTGCGAAGCGGACGTCTTTCCCACTAATTTACTGGGGCATCTTTTTGCTGGGTGATTTCCTTCCTTAGTAACAATGCAGCCGGTAAATTGTAAGTTGGAAAGTTTGCTGCCGATTTTCATCCAGCAAAAGCACTCCCGGGTCGAAATCGGAAAGCACCACGCATTGGAGACATAGTAAAGAAATCGTACGCGTGCATTTTCAGTTCGAAGTAGACCCGTCGTGCTTGACGTTTGCGCGAGCGATGTCCTCAGCCACGAGAAGGGAGCGACGGCTCGGCGACGTCTTCGTGCAAATCGGCTTGGTGGCCGGGCGTGACGTACGGGATGAATACCAATTCTTTTGATCAGTCTCAAATTTCTCTTTTAACGGTAGACAGAATTCGCCGGTACCGCGAACGACAGTTCTGAAATAGAGGTCCCACGCCCGTCGTCCGCTACCATCGCCGTCGCCGCGAGTCCCACGATACGCGAAACGACGAACGCACAGAATGCTTCCGGTTGTCTGTGGAACTTTTTTTTTCAATCAACGTATTTACAGCTTTTTAGAAGCCACAAAAAATGGGTTTCATATTTTTTTCTATTTTTAATATTGAGTGTGTGCTTTCAGTGACCCACGACTTTGATTAAATTTGGTGGTCGCGTCTAAACCTTAGAAAACGGCCCGTGACCACGGAAAAGAGAGTGAGCGCCACTCAAACCAGCCAGTTCTCGATCGGCGGTTTTCGGGCGGAAAGAAACCGAATTTCGAGCCGCAAATTCTGTTCTGTAGTTGGGCTCTCACATGCCACGTACAACTAAAAACCTCGGCGAGCATAAATACCCTGTCAGTGTCCCTTTAAGGGGACACACCCCCTAGGAGGGTCAACTTTTGAACACTTATTAGGTAATGAAATTTACAGGGTAGGCTGGTGATCATGCTAGAGGGTGCATAACAAAATGTCAGGTCTGTCGGTTAAGTGGGAAGGAAATTAGAGCAGCTTCTATCAGCAACACGCCTACATTGTTTAGTTAATCTATCGCCGGAAAACTATCACAATATTCAAGATTTTTATTTGCTAGATATGTAGCAGAACGCCTAAGAGGTGCAGCTATGGAAAGTATTTTGTAAAAAGTCATTTATTTCTATCAATTTTCTCTTCTGCGAAATTGGTCAACTTTTTGGTCTTCTGTATCTCCGCCAAAATGTCAACACTTTTTATAAAAAAACATCCGTAAAGTGACAAAAAAACTCTATAGCCGCACTCCTTATTAAATTTCAGTCAGGAAAAGTGAAGAATGAGCCTTCCCTGCATTGCCACTATCAAACGATAGATTTACTAAATTGGAATTTATACCGAAAAGTGGAACGGAGAAAGATGCATTCAGAGTGCTCCAAACCCTCCCTTTTCTTTAGCTTCGGTGAACAGAAAATAATTTATAAAAAATTAACTATGCAGTGTAAACTACTAATGAAAATTCCTGGGAATACTCTCTAGGTGTTGATAAATGTAAATAAGTCATTTTCCAAAATCAACATTCTTTGCAGAATTTTTTTTTTCTGGGTGTCCAGTGAGTACAGAGGTTTCAAGGGACTGCACCAAAACATCACATAATCTGCGAGTGTATTATCCGAAAAGCTAAGATTACGACATTGGTGCTTGGCCCTATAAGACAAAAAGTATGCCAAACTTTTATAATTATGTCTAAGCTAATAACCTGCTGGGCGAAAGAGAGGAGAAGGTCCTTAAAATAAATAGAACAAATCGTAGTGTGGCGCAATAAAGGCACTGATAAGGTTTTATTTTCACCTTACTTCGTTCTCAAAAACGTGATAAGTAATTTTTTGGGGGGTTGCCGCAACCCCTAGAAGCAAGTGAACCTTCTCTGCTGTTGGGGGCGTATGGAAATCGTTGAACGCCATCAAAACGTGGCATTTCCACGTATGTCGACGCACTTAGCTTGGTGCCTGTGACGCCGTCACTTTTGCCCAAGGTATAGGCATTGTGCAGTTCCCTTTTTGGCGACTCGATCGAGTGACACTGCATCGTGAATGGCAGTGTCGTGGGCGTTTGTCGCGGCCCGTAAGCCGCAATGAGTAGGTATTGACTCAGCACGTTGCTATTCCAGAGAGCACATAAATTTCTGCAGCACACGCGAAAATCGCAGGTTGAAAATATGTTGTAGCTCGATGCCTTTTCGCTTTCCGAAATTGCAGTGCGAGCCCAACTGCGCGGATCGACCGATCGCAGTACTACAGTGCATTCTCAAAAAAAGGAAAGAGCGGTCCACGAGAGAAAAGTGGGTCGTGTCACAGGAAAGCGAAGGAGGGCGCGGTTGTATGGAGGCCAAACGTGAAAATACCAACCGACCGAAAGTAACACCGCCGGCCAGCATTGCCTCCAGCGACTGAGGTTGAATGAAGACGCGAAGAACGACCTCACAGGGGAAGTAGGGAAAGATAGGATATGTCTGCCGACGCAATCTGCAGGTTTCTATTTCCCGGCGATGCAATGTGCCAGGGTTGTCGTACGACGTGATATGTGTGTATTTGTTCGTTGTGAAATCCCAATTTCTAGTACATTGTTTCTATGGAAAGTTCTTCGGACTGGCGCCATATCGTCATAGAATGCGCGACGTTGCATAAACCGAACCAGTATTCCTCTGCGGGGCTTCTCAAGCTTTTTGATCTTGAGGACCCCCTATTTCTCTCGGTTGATTTCCGGCATTGATGCAGTAGAGAAGGGGTGGCCGGGCTGTGGCTCTTTGCGTGTTAAAGTGCGGCTCACGGCTTCCAAAAAAATCCAGCCCCCCCCCCCCCCACCTTTTCCTGCTTCTCTCCCCTAAGAATAGAAAAGGAACGCATTTGGAATTGAAAGACATTTTGCGATTCGGTCTTGTGCTACTGCTACCATACATACAGTTGGACTAAAGTAGTTCAAATTTAATTTATTGCTCAGAAAAACAAGTTTGAACTCCCTCCCCCCCTTTTTTTCTCTCTTTCTTTTCTGCCTTTCCTCTTCCAGGCAGCTCTTGGAAGTTTAGTGGATTTGTGTGCGGCTGTTAGGTCGGGTCAGCCTGGCCACCCCTGCAGTAGAGCAGTGCAGAAGCTTGGAGATCTTGTAAACAGTATAATAGGGAGTGCCGTGCACATTTTTGGGCATCGCTGGATGGCTGCAGTCTTCTAAAATAATGCTTAAGTCCGAAGAACGCTTCTCTTAGCGGCAGAAATGGCCGAGGAAATTTGAGAGCTCCGGGAACTCCGAGGGTACTCCGGGAAAGCCGGTCTGAGAGCCCCTTTGGTGCAGCTTCCTGCACGGGCGCCTGCGCACGGCCACCCTGCGGTCGGACTACGAGGGCCAGGCGGTGCTGGTGAACTGCCTGCTGCGCAACTACCTGCACTACAACCTGTACGAGCAGGCCTCCAAGCTGGTCTCCAAGTCTGCCTACCCGGAGGCGGCCTCCAACAACGAGTGGGCCCGCTACCTGTACTACCTGGGACGCATCCGGGCCATCCAGCTGGACTACTCTGAGGCCCGCAGGCACCTGCTCCAGGCCGTGCGCAAGGCTCCCCAGCACGCCGCCCTGGGCTTCAAGCAGACGGTGGGCACTCTCAGCGGGGCGTTTGCCGTCTGACTTCCCTTGGCCAAGGGCGGACCGTGAGGCGGGGCGGTGCTTGCAGGTGCACAAGCTGGCCATCACGGTGGACCTGCTGCTGGGGGACATCCCGGACCGGTCCATCTTCCGCCAGCCGCCCCTCAGGCGGACCTTGGCACCCTACTTCCAGCTCACTCAGGGTAGGGGGGCCTCTTCGGCAGCCCCGTTTTACCTCGACAGGGGCGCGTCGTTTCGGTTTCTCCTTTATTCGTTTTGCCGCAGATACCGGCCACTGAGGGGTCGCCGGATATGTTCCTCTTCTCGACATGTTTGTCTTCCTTCCAGAGCCAAATGCGCTCGCTCCGTCGGTGCGTGGCCCGCCAGAACTGCTCTTTAAAAGTGCACCACAATCTTGCCCAGAGGGGTGCCCACCAATCACGGCACGGCACGAATGCTCGCGACACCGTGGTTGGCTGGCACCTCGTTGGGTTTGGCTAACTTTCCAGCTTGATGGTTGGAGGTGCACTTCCAAAAGGCGTTGTTGACAGGGCGTGGAGAGGGTGGCATTACGGTGGCGCAAGTGCATTCAACTCCGGGGGGAGTACGGTGGAACTCTGATCATGCGTCCCCGTTTTGATTGATGTTCCCGCATTTTACGACGATTTGGTGCAGGCCCGGCGGGCTCCACATTAAAGCAATGTATTTGATGTTCAGATTTCGCGACATACTATTACATGTATCCCGAGCAATACAACGATCCCGGCTCGTTGCATCGCCAAGAAAACGGTTGAAACGCAAAAACGAAATCCCGCGCTGCGCCGGTGGACGTATCCTCTTACTCTCTCATTCCCCAGGAAGCCGCTCTTCATTCAATCTCCTTCGCTGGGCGGTATCTGAAGTTCTTAGTTGTTTCTGCCGTTCCCCTCCTTCTGATTGCGCCTGCCTTTGCTTTCCTGCTACACGTCCTACTTTGCTCTCGTACTCCACTCGATCGTTTTCATTTCTCCAAAAACGGTTTATTCCCAAAATAAGAGATGGACAGTCAGCCAGACTGGTGGGGAGAATCCTGCGCAAACAGATGCATCCCTCCAATAGCGAAGCACCCCGGGGGTGGAAAGGGCAGAGGTCATGTCGGTTACTCTAAGTGCGTCTCCGGCCTTTGCAGCGGTGCGAGCGGGCAACCTGGGCCGCTTCAACGAGGTGCTGGAGAACTTTGGGCCCAAGTTCCAGGCAGACCACACGTTCACGCTGATCATTCGGCTGCGCCACAACGTGATCAAGACCGGGGTGCGCATGATCAACCTGTCCTACCTGCGCATCTCCCTGGCAGACGTGGCCCAGAAGCTGCAGCTGGACAGCCCCGAGGACGCAGAGTTCATCGTGGCTAAGGTGCGCTTGCCTGCCGTCCCCTCTTCTTTGTGGCCTCTCGCTTTTCCACGTCGGATCACGTTGCCCTTGTTCTCTTGGACTGTGTTTAAATTCGAATTTTACTGAAGTGGATTCGAGTTGCTCTTACGGGTCGTGTCACATTATGACGAAGATGAGTGATACTGGACACCAATAGGTTTTCGAATAACGAGGTGCAAAACCTTTATTCTGGGTGAGATAGAGTGCATTTTAAAACGTGGCCTCGGCGTCTACTGCCGTCCTAGCCTAAGCCTTTTTTTTACTCCATTCTCTTTTGAGCCTACGGGTCAGCAAAGGCTAACTAACGTGCCTAGCGAAGGCAATAGGTGCAACATCGTGGTTTCAAGACACGCTTTTAGGGACAACCGTTTGTGCACATTTCAGACACGTTTCAGTAAGAAAAACAGGCTAGCTCAAACCTATTGCCTTCCCTGCTCAGAACGGAACATGGGTACATATGGTTGGCGTCCAGCTAGCGCTCGTTCGGATTTACGCGTCTTTGTGCCGCGCAACAACAGAAAAGGTGGCGATTGGCACTGTTCGTCGCGTATATACATGCAACGGACTTTATGTAATGGTTGTACAACTTATCTTTTATAAATGTTCCCAGGGGGTGAGGTGTCGAGTCAGTGACTCTGACATCACGGCAGCAGTGTTGCTCCTGAGTAAATTTGAGGTAAAATAATTTTCAGCACCAAATAAAACATCTTGAGCAGGCTGTCAAGATTGCGAGCTACTTGAAATACTGAGAGGCGGCGGCTCTCTAAATTCTGTTGCAGCTTTTGTGGTCATCCGTTAAACGCAACTGGCGTGCTTGCCCGCAGGCGATCCGTGACGGTGTGATAGAGGCGAGCATCGACCACGACCAGGGCTACATGCAGTCCAAGGAGAACATGGACATCTACTGCACCAGGGAGCCCCAGGCTGCCTTCCACCAGCGCATCTGCTTCTGCCTCGACATCCACAACCAGTCAGTCAAGGTGCGCCCCGCTCGCCCAACGCGCTTCCTCTCTTCTTCGGCACGTCGAAAGGAACGGACGTGCCAGGAAATAGCTAAACTGCAGGCTAGAGCTATTTTTAATGGTTGGGTGCTTGGGAGGACAAACGTAGTAGCCCATATACGTACATTGTAACACAGTCGGGCCCCATTATATTGAACCGAGGTATTTCGAATTATTGTCCATTTCAACCAGCCTAAGCAACTCTTTAAAAATTTCATGTAAAAGGATAGGAGTGTTGTGCGTCTGTATCAAACTCCGACCCCCCTAGACACTCGATACGTCGAACTGGGCGCCGCAGTACCCCTGGAAGGAAGTCTTTCCCGGAAGACTTCCATCGCTGCTCCTGCAATCTATCTGTCTGCGCGCCGAAGCTGTGCGAGGCAAGACCATAGTATGCTACAACAGCCACCAAATCACGCAAAGGGACGCAGGAGGCGTGCTTGAATATTCAAGAGGAAGCAGAGGGGAAACAGGACGCTTTGCCTCAGCTCTTTAGCCACAGAGAAAAAAAAAAGTCTTCTAACTGGTTGAGCGTGTAAGCAAAGGTTGCGTCATCATACTTTGAATCTTTGTTCATATTTTGCTTTCACCGTTTTTGTATCATCGCTTTCTTTTTTTGTCGTAGTAGGGTCGTAAGCTGGGTGAGTTGGTAAATGTTGAACATGATAAAACTTTGCACACTAAGAGACAAGGACAAAAGAGGAAGGAACACAGACAGGCCTGTAGTCACAACTCTGGTATACCTAATACGCAGGGGTGTGCGAATATTCGAATTCTAATAGAATAGAAATTTCCCGAATAATTCAATTCGCGAATCGACTTCCTAGTATTCGGTCACTCGAATATTCAATATATTTGGCCAAAGACCCGCGGTCGGCTTGGAGCTGACAAAAGAGCAGTTTTTTCTCCCAATGTTAGTGCTGTGATGTTCGACAGACCATGCGAGAAACACATCTTGGACCTACCATTCCACAAAAACCTAATGCACAGATTAAAAAAAAAGTGAAGTAACGAACGCCAGAAGCTTTATAGCACGGAGATTTACTCATGATCGTGACGCTATGTAACCTTGAATCACAACCGAAACATCCCGTTTGCGCCGCTTCCAGAGAGGAATTGTTGAAAGGCCGGAACTTCACGCCATGCCTAATTCTTTTCACGAGTCAAGCCTCTCATTTCAAACTAAAGCGAAGATGTAGAACGCACTTGCCACACTCATAGAAATTGGCGACAGCAAGGTCACTTAACCACGCCGATGAAACTGGCCGAGTCGTCGCCGTCGTTATTTTGGAACTGCAAGCTGTGCAAGCCACAAATTCTGATTCGGAACGAAATGGAACGGGAAAATAGTGTGCCTAGATTTGAGAAAGTTTCCGACCATTCAAGAGCCGCGTTTGACTTTCGAACTGCGAGAAGGTGATGAAAAGACAAAAGCGTCAATCGAACAGGTGTCGTCCCTCTTCCGTTTGCTTGCTTTCTTTCCATGCGACAACACAACACATGGGCACTTAGACCGATCCGCGCAGGAGCCGCCTCCATTGTTTCCGTTGTTTCAGTTTCGCTTGCTCCCTCTTTTAAATCTAGGCTCTCTAAAACGGGATAGATGGACAAAGGAATGGATACACAGCGGCAGTTGGACAGTGATCACTTGCGCCACCTAACCACATTTTTTTTTTTTTTTCTTACTTCAGATTATATTGTTTATGCCTGTTTACTCAGATGTAACAGCTATCTGTTTATTTGAATAAAATAAAATCCCGGGTGCCCCTTTTTTTTCCCTTAAAATTCAGGCCAAATATAGCGTAATAGCCCTTTTCTGAGATATATAAAGAAAAGGACATGTCGCAGTGTTAGGTCGTGCTTTTAAAGAGAAAAAAAGCCACGCGTGGCTGTAACTTAGGGGTTTTTTGGGACGCTTAGGGCAGACGGATTATGTTTGTGCCGTAAAATTGGATCTTTAGTGCCCAACGTCCATCAGCAGCTGTTTTACAGCGGAGCTGTTAGGGGCTAGTTTCCCCAGGATCGTGTCCGTCTCAAAGAAATGTCGACACAAAACTCTGGTGGCCGCCATCGCTCATAGATGGCGGTAGCTGTCTAGAGCGTTGTGTTTGCCAGTTGTCCGCTTGCTGCCATCGCTCATAGAGGGCGCAACCTTTCGAGCCTTTCCACTGTGGCTTGTCGACTTGTGACCGGCCATTACTTCATTCCCACCATAATACAGCTTCACTGGTCTTCCTTCTTTACCAGAATGGAAAGGCTAAAAGTTTTTTGTTTGTTTTTTAGAACTTTTATGCGAGTTTTTGTTCTGTACAAGATGCACATTCTGCACCAGGCGCATACTCTGCACATATAATAATCTCATTCACAGCACACTCTGAAAAATTCCTACAAGTAAAGTCACTACGTATAGACCACTTACAACGTAACCGCTTATAGTGCGGGACCGGGTATAACGCGGTTTTTTTAAACCACCGGTTCGCCTCCCATAGAACTCCATGTAATTACATACCGCTTAAAATGCAGGCGCGCGAAGGGAAATACCGGTTATAGTGCGGTTTCTGGCACAGCCCGCCGGCCGCGCCGACGACCGGAGCAGCGAGCGCGCTTCCCTGTGCGACACTAGATAACGGCGCTGACGGCGCGAGCAGCAAGCGGCACTCGCGTGGCAGTTGCGCCAGAGCCGAGTTGCTCGAAGAAGCGGGAAGAAGCGAAAGGCTTCAGTTGCCATACCGACGGAGGGACGCACGCACGTGTCGTTCACGTGCGTGCGTCCCTCCGCTGCGTTAAAAACAAACAACCGCAGCGACAGACCAATCGCAGGTTGAGGAGAAGTGTTGCGCGCGTTACATGGCGGTCGCGGGTCGGCTGTTTCTATCCGCGAACACGGCGTCGGTTGTGATCGTCGTCGTCGACGGCGTTCATCTCATCGTTCCGCGTAAAAGCGCTATCCTTGACTGTGAATTTTCGTTGTGTCGCTATGATAACCCAGCACGTACTAGAAGGGAAGATCCACCTACTCGTGCGGCGATGTCGTGGCGGCGCTCTCAAGACGGCAGAAACGCCCGTGTCGTCGTGTTTGTTTACTTCGAGTACAGTGGTGATTTCTAAGCATTTGTGTCCTCGAACATCGCCCGGATTTCTTATTTGGCGCATTTCATGCGTGCGCTCAAGTTCAAGGTATTACTGGCGCGTACCGTGTGAAGGATGCGAATTTTCACGCGTTTTCATCTCCGGAGAAAAGTGATTAGGGTTAGCAATCCTGAACGCTCTCAACGTCCGTCCGCAACCCGCGACGCCGTTAAAAGGCTGCGCCAGGCAAAAGCTGCTCATTTCTTTCAAAATGTGTAACACACTTGAGACAGAACTGTACTAGTCAGGTGAAATAACGACTTTCCTCGAAGTAAGCTTTATTTTTCATCTAACATAAAATAAATTCTTTTCACAAGTGTAAGTTGTCTCATGGCATGTATTTTGGCCTGAAAAATTGATGTTTTGGTTATAGTGCGGTACCGCTTATAGTGCGGATTTTCGCGACTCCCGCGACATACGTTATATGCGGTCTACATTTGATATTCTGTTCCATATTCGGCTTTTTTTTTTTCTTAATTCGATTTGGTATTCGACTCGATAAGTACTATTAGGTATTCGCACATTCCTACTAAAAGGTGAAAAGAAAGACGAAGCAAGACTCATGACGAGAGACATCGGCACTAGGGGGAATACAGTTCAGTCGCAGCTAGAGTTCCTCGATATGCTCCCCCGAAGGGGGAGCAGAGTTGCGCATTTGTTTTCCCCGCGCCGCCACGCCGCTATCCGCCGAGATCCATCACGTGAGGAGCAAAGCATCCGGCGCCGTGCAAGGAAGCCACCTTTACGGTCGCTCCGCCGACGTTTCTCGCGCCCCAGCGTATGTTCCCCTGCTTTCCGCCTCCTTTTCCTCCTCTCCTGTTTTCCATGCGCGGCAGCGCACGCGTCGCCGCTATTCGCCAGATTTAGTCACATGAGGAGCAAAGTATCCAAGGCGTGCAGGAAAGCCGGCGCTACGGCCACCCGCCAAGGCTGAATGCGCAACTCTGCTACCCTAGGTAGCTATATACGGGAACTCTAGTTGCAGCGAAATAACCGCAAAAGGGCAACTTCTTTTTCACTCAAAGCCACCAATGGCCGACTGACGTAGCAATTGGCCTAACCCAACAAGGCCTCTAGCACATCGCGTGTGTGTTTCTCTTTGAACCGCCCAATGATTGAGTTTTCTTAGCATAGGACTATGTCTTTCTCCGCGAAGGGTGTGCAAAGTTGGCAGATCGATGTCACGAACACTTGGTCATGGAAGTGACATCATGCATATAACACCGGAGCGCGGACCGATTTGCATTGCTGCGCTCCCTGACGGCGTGCCGTGCCTGCTGCCGAGAACCGTGCAGTGCACATGTGCATCCTTTTCAAGGGATACTTCAACGAAATCTGAAATATACCCGTCGTGTTCAGAAATGGGCTGAATATGATCCACAATATCCGTAAATGACGATGACGCATTTGTATTTTGAGCCTGATGGCTGTATTCGTTCTAAACGGCTTACTCTGGCAAGCGCTCGGAGAGCAGCCAGCGGAGAGTATGTTACGTCTGCCGCAATCGTGACCTAGATTGTTTCGTCGAGAGGATGGCCTAGCAGTTCCAGCCACTGAAGCAGCCGAAGCACGCCAGCAATTGGGCCACCGCAACTTACCCCAAAGCTACTTTTGTATAATTCTGAGTGATGGGTTAATCTTCTTTAATCTTGTAGAAGGGAAGGACAATAGCGACATCTGGGACATACATGCAAAAGAGAGTCTTGGGGAGAGGGAAGTTCCTCCTTCCCCTCGTCTCTCATGGTGGCCATGCCACCATGGCCATGCCGCATATTTTTATTTTTGGTTTTTCGGTCTACACAGAGAAGGCTCGCGTGTTCGGGGTGGTCTCGTAACATCTGGCCGCGCTGGGCCGTCCGGATGAAAGTGGGGATCCGTCGTGACCTCCTGGGTGCATCTAGTTGTGGTTGCAAGTTGCGTCGGCCGAGAGGGAATGTTAGTGACGGCTGTCCATTGTTGCTTGCAGGCAATGCGCTTCCCACCCAAGTCCTACAACAAGGACCTTGAATCTGCGGAGGTAAGTGGCCCCCTCCCGTCGTGCGGTTGCCCGTGCCGGTGTCGGCTGATCCATTGGACTTTCCTGCGCCCGATGGGGGCCTTTGGACTTAAATTGAATGGTTCTACCCAGAGCTGTATGTACTGAGAGAGTTTGGCAGATGGGCAGAGCTTGGGATCCGCTAAATCTGGCCAGAATAAGCCAACCTCGCGATAACACGATATGAAGATTCGGTTTCGTTTCACCACTCCACTCTGAGCGAGTCCACTTAAATTTGTGGTTACAAGTAGCATTATGAAAACATTCCTCATTCATCGGTATTCTATTACACCTGCAGTGGGTCACTTCATTCAAAACCTCCCCTCTCCCAGTTGTTATTGATCTCCAGTTACAAAACTTAAAGATAAGCTTTTCTGTTTGTTTCCAAACAAAAACATGCTTTCTAAATAAAAAAGGAGGTCAGGCAATTTAGAACATGTGTACGCAGTTACTGCATAGTAAACACTTTCTGCAGTGTTGAATATTTGCGGTGGGGGCAATGTAGAGAAGTAACGTTCTAGACAAAAACGAAGAATCAAAGATGATAATATGTTTGGAGATTGTTGCAGATAAGGAAGTGTGAGCAATTGATTGCGTGGAAAAAGCCAACGGCGCTTTAATGAAGGACCCTTTCAGTGCGATGATACGTCACTGCAGACATGGGGTGGCAAGTCCAGAATGGATTACAAATCAGGAACACAACATGGCAAGGGAAACATTTGGTTGCCAGTTCTCTGGTCGTGGTTGCTGGACTGTCAGCACCTTCAAAATAATGCCAAACTCTCCCAGTATAGATGAGTCTGATTATACACTTCGAGTAAACTGTGAGTGATACAGAATTATGTTGAGTGTTACGTTAAAAAATTTAAAAGACATGCAAAAAATGTATACCTTCCTTTATTAAGCTCAATATAAGTTTTCTTCATATGGTACCTCTGATTACTGTGTTCTACATAAACAATGTTGTGGTTTGAAATCGAGCTACTTCGTTTTCCCATTTGAATGGTCCACCAAAAAAAGTTGTAGCCCAGGGTACTATGACGGGTGACAGGTTTAGAACTCTGTAGATGCTCCGCTTCGAGCGCAAGCTTTCTGCCTTCTATAACACAACTAATTGCACACGTAGCCAAAGCCCAGAGGAAGGCCACAAGTGCGTGCAGGAGGCGGAGCTTCCTCCAGGTTCTTGACTCGTTATCGCTCAAGCTTTTCAATGTGCTTGTCGTGAAACTGGTTTTGAGGTAGAAGCAATTTAGAAATGTGTTTCAAAGTATTCAGAATCCTCAAAGAATTTTGCAACCTAAATATTGCGCTAACCTTTTTAATTTTTTTTTTTTTTTTTTTTTTTTTGTGTATAATATTGGGGGAGCATTCATCCCACTTTCAATGAAAACATTTAGTTTAGACACGGGCACTTGTCCTGTCAAGTTGGGCGCTTAACGTGAAATTTGCTGATTTCCCAAGTTTCAGAAATATTAATAATAGGCGCTTGAATGAAGTGGGCGCTTCTGCAGTATATTACAATACCTTTCTATCTTGGCACTTAAAAAAATATGTTAAGAGTTCAGCATCTTTTTGAGGCCCTATCACATTTTGTGCGCATCTATAGACTGGTGTCCAAAATCCTAGCCCCTTGCCATAAAAACAAGAAATAATAACCTCAAGCGCAGGCTCATGCAAAGAGAGGGGCTGCGCATGAAACGAGTTTTGCTTTATACGGCAATGTCGGCATCAGTGTTTGTTCTTGGACATCTGCGACTATGCATTTCTGATGTTCTTGCACTACGGCAGGCGCGAAGGCTTCTAAAAAAACGAAGTCCTGCAAAAAGCGCACCCTCCCCGTTCCCCCCTAACCGTTTCGCAGCGTCGCCGCATCAGCATAAACAAACATGGCAACGCCCAAGGAACGGAGCATACACCGATCTATGGGAAGCGACATCAGTCATAGAAAAAGCTGGACGAGGCTACTGATCTCCCCTATAGGCGGCTGGATGGCGCATTGAGCAGAGAGGTATGAAGCCACCAGTAGTAAGCGGCTTGTCCCAGGAGTGAGCGCTTGACAGGCTTTTCAACTCTTCCAAGTACTGAGTCAAGCAGCACTCAGGGCGCTGAATGTTTTCTTGTCATCCCAAGAGAGCCTGCTTGTTGCGGAGTCATGCGGACCCGAGAAGTCTTCTGGGAAGCCATTCGACGTGAACATTTTCAGATTCTAGTTCATCAAGTGTGCACATGTCCCACATTCAAATGACTTATTCTCGGGATTTAATTCAGAACGGGAGAATTTAAACCCAATCAAAGACACAAAAAAGCATGGACTAAATTATCGACTGAATGCATAAGAAGCCCAGCGCACTCCCGACTTCCGGTGGCTTCACTTGCGCCGGGCTCGGAGAGCAGCTGTGCGCCATCCAGCCCCCTATAGTGGAGATAGTGGACGAGGCACATTCGGCAAAGATTGACCTGGGCAGATCGTTAGGTACTTGGGAGGTTCCGCGAGCATCTCGTGCATTTGCGCGCTCTGCCGCTTACTTCGGGTCGTTGACCCCCCGATCTTCCCCGGCAGGAGCGGCGGGAACGGGAGCAGCAGGACCTGGAGTACGCCAAAGAGATGGCAGACGAGGAGGACGACGGCTTTCCCTAGTCCCGGCGGTAGACGCCCCACCAGAGGGCACCGTCTCGACGCCCGGGACCGCACACCGCCTTTTCGACGCGCCGCAATAAAGCAAACTAGGTTTCTGCACTTCGAAGCCCCGCCAAGTGTGTGCATGCCCCGCGGGCGGCGCTCTCGCGCCCGTCGTCGGTTTCGACGGCCGACGTACCGAATGCGTAGCGTTTATTAGAAGCGTGCTACCGGGCGGCATCCCAGCAGAGTCGCTGGCATGCACGTGACGTGCAGCAGCCGACGGACAGCGGGTAGCGTAGGCTATTTCTAATCAAGCTTCGAGCATTGCACCACGCAAAGCGGTCGGGGCCACCGTTGGCGCCAACTTGTTTTTACGCCAGAGGTGGAGATTGAAAGAGAAAAGATCCCGTCCTGGCACTGGCGAGAACAGCCACAGCGATCTCATTCCCAGCAGGCCGAGCTCTATCCACCAGGGAGCAAACAGCAGTCTGATAAAATGAACGAAAAATAATCTTTGGTTTTTTCAGTCACTGATAACAGTTATCGAGTAGTTACAAGATTGTTGTTCAACACGCTTCATAGGCACACGAAAAAGTTCAAAACGCAGAGTGTACTGCTATTGAGAGCGGCAGCTGTTGCATCGTTAAAAGGATGTTGCAGGTTTAGGAACGTGCAATAAGCCCCTCCCACAAAGTCCTTCACCATTTCCAATCCGCATATTGTGTCCTCTCCGGCGTTCACTCAACTAAGTGGAAAGAGTAGGGGCTCGGTGACACAATTACTGTGCCAAACTGCTTGCCACGCTACATATGGCTACATTTTGCCAAAGTATGAATTTCCGGAAACGTTGTGCCAAAACGTAATTTCACTTTATTATTACTAAGATGTAATAGCTCGTGCCCCGCTACACGCCCCGATCGGAACGGTAGGCTCGTGCTGCCATGGGAAATAACCTCCCGGCTCGTAAAAAGTTTCTCGAAATTCCGATTATCGCCTCAAATATCGTACTACTCGATTTTATTTCTGTGCCGAACACTGATTTCTCGTTTTCGTGTTTGTGGTCTGTTCCGGCACTTTTTTTAGGTTTGTTGAGTGACTTCGATGCACTGCTGTGAAGCGAGAGCTGCGGAGTAGGCATGACGGTTTTGTGTAAGCGCTATTTTGCGAACATTGGCATAGAGCGTATTTTAAGAAAAGTGTTTATGCAACAACTGTACCTTTTAGGAAAAATTTCTGAATTAAGCTCTAGTATACAGGGTGTTTCACAAAAGGTGGACAAATTCGATATTGCAAAAACTATGCGTCGCAACAAAAAAAGACTTGTGTCGTTTTGGTTCTGGGCCAGAGGCCTATTTAGGAAAATTATTGAAGTTCGGGATAATTAACATGTTAATTATTCTTGCTTAAATAACTTCTTTAATATTGTGTTTAAGGGCATGGTTTCAATTAGAAAATTGTTCAGCATCGTTGGAAAACACTAAATCAACAAACTGCACAATGATAGAAGGCACGCAAAGCATTTTGCGGCTTTCTGAAAAACCGCAAAACTTTGCCAGGTTTTTAAGTTTTGGTTTGCTATGGAAGCGCATCTCGGCCCCGACGGTAACGCGCCCCGTAGAGATATAGTGCAACCAACCTCTGCTGCGCTGTCGTTGCACGACGCAGCAGAGGCTGGTTGCACTATCTCTCCACGGGGCGCGGTGCCGCCAGGGCCCAGATGCGCTCCGATAGCAAACCGAAATTTAGAAACACATTGATTTTGTGCGGTTTTTCAGAGAACTGTAAAATGCTTCGCGGCACGCGAAGCATTTTACGGTTCTCTGAAACCGTAAAATGCTGAGCAATTAGAAAATTGCTCAGCATGATCAAAAAACACTAAATCGAAAAATTGCAGAACGATAGAAGGCACTTCTATCGTTCTGCAATTTTTCGATTTAGTGTTTTTTGATCATGCTGAGCAATTTTCTAATTGAAACCATGCCCTTAAACACAATATTAAAAAAGTTAATTATGCAAAAATAATTAACAACTTAATTATCCCGGACCTTAACAATTTTCCTAAATAAGCCCCTGGCCCAGGACTAAAACTACACAAGCAGTTTTTGTTGCGACGCATAGTTTTCGCAATATCGAATTTGTTTACCTTTCGTGGAACATTCTGTTTATGACGTACAGCAAACTTATTTCTGATGATTTCGTGTTTCAAGTACAAGATTTATTGAGGATACTTGCGAGATTTATATGGGAGTGTTCTCTGGTTGTATTTTTTATGTCATCTCTCATTTAGTTATCACCTCTAAATGGGTTCCATCTGTGTATGATAGTGAGTACAGTATCTAGAATAACTTTAATGGGCATCTAGAATAACTTTAACGAGTTTGGCTTAATTTTAAAGGGGCGATGCAGCGATATCCAGTTGGAATGTTTATCACTTTACACGAGCCTACTGGCACTAGTGCGGCGGTCTCAAACATGCGGCCCACGGGCCCAATGCAGCCAGCCACTCTGGGGCGCGGCCCGCTGCAAACTTCCATTTGTATGTCTCAAGCGCTGCATGCGCCATAAATAATCGCCTCCTGTTGTCCATTCATTTCCACTAGAAACATAGCTCTGCTCGTATGAGGTTATAACATGTTTAGCACTAATCTGTTTTCTTGTAGCTCTAGGATTGTTTCGTTACTACAAGACTCAAGTATGTTCTTATAGTTCCGATATAAAAATCTTCAGGAAAGCAAGAAACTACCACATGAAGTTTTTTTCTTTAGAGACATAAACTCTTGTAATTTCCGAGTGAATTGAAAGGCATAGTAATGATTGTGTACTTGGTTTCTAGCTGTATTGAATTGCGGCATGTTGGCAGGATGGTAGTATTTTAAATTTGTAATCACAATAGGTACAAACCCAAAGTAGTTGTATGAACCCATCAAAGCTAAAGACGGCGCTGGCAAAATGGACATCTTAGAAAAAGCAAGCAGCACGAGACCCCTTAGCAAACCTCTGGGTGTCGCTGAAAGATGGCTGCTTTGCAACGTAAAACGCTGAAATACAATCGCTGTTGTTTTTTCATTTTCAATGCAAAAGTGTTAACTGTCCCATGGAGCGAAGTTGGTGTTGTCTATAACCGTCTGTAGCAGCGAAACGACACCCAGTTTCCCATTGGTTGCAACGGATCATATAAGGTGCTTCACCGAGGTCCAAGCGGATGTGCCTCAGAAGCAAAAACGCAGCAACGCATATGCATCATCGCGGAAGCTGTGGAGACTAAGGAGTTTGCCGTGCCTGTGCATAGGGAAGCACGATATCACTGCCGCAGCGCATGTGGCTCCATGGCAACGGCATCATTGTTGCCAAGGAGCCAGCCAAACTGTTGGTGGTGCAGTGGGAGGGGGGATGCTAAAGCACCGTGTGTGAAAAGAAGACGTGGCACGCTGCCTGTAGGAATGCGCTGCATGTAGGAATGCTTTAGCATTCCTACACATAAGCAGTCTTAAGTGTCTGCTGAATTTTTTTGTCCTACAATGTATTATACTTTTATCCTCCCCCCCCTTCACTGTTGGCCCTCGACATCTTTGGGGTGAGCTGTCTGGCCCCCTAAAGGCAGGAATTGGCCTGTACGGACAATGGAAACATTCGCGCCCATTAAGGTTCGCGAATTTTACAATTTGTGAAATTCTCAAAAGTTGGGGCTCATGAACATTAATACGCGTGTCCCACTAGAGCGACATACAGAAACAAAAGACAAAGACAAGCCTCAAACCAGAGTCTTTCGCGATTTGAGACGGTTTGTAGAGTAACGGAGGCTATGCTCAAACACAAGCATCATGCACGCGAGGGTATTTTTGGCAAGCTTGCAATCACTCGTGCTTACTTTGCGTGCACCGAACGATGAAACGCCTGCCAAAGGTACCAACACGAGCATGCTGCATGGGTTTGAGGCTTGTCGCTGTCTTTTGTCTTTGTCTGTCGCTCTAGTGGGACACGGGCATAAGGGTTTCACAGGAGAAGAACCCATGCATTTCCTATGGTAACTTTTTGGTCCTCATTCCCAGCAAGTACTGAACCAGTTGGCGTCAAGGTGATTGTATTCGAAAGATAATAACAAAAAGCTTAGCTTCGCGGAATTACATTTTTAATGAAACCTCGAATTCCCAGAAAAACTGATTTTTTTAGCTTCCACCTTCAAACGTCCCAGAAATTAAAGGATGAATACAAATTGAAGTACAATCTTGCAGTGTAAAATGCATTTGTGAATCTATATCTGCTAATAGAATTCCTCAATTCATTGTTGTCACGAAATGAACTGAGGAAGTTTGCGATCCTGTGAAATCAAACATTTGTCTGCTGAACACCATTTTGTGGGCTGCAGCGGTGCCATCCCGTGATCGTTGTTGCTAAACTCAACCTGGCAGCGATCAACGAGTTCATGCAGCGCTGCGTTGCTCCGCCGCAAGGAACTCGCTGCATTCGGTGGTGTGGTTCACTTATATTTGAATCTAGGATATAGAGCTATTACAATGCACTTTAGAGGTTTAACTGGCACTCCTGTGCTGTTTCAAATTGAAGCAGACAGCAATTGGTCTGAAATTGACTTCCGGTAAGCATTTTTATGGGAAAAAGGGTGCATTTTCTCCCTGCGCTTGATTTTAAGAGCAAATGCCAGGAATAATTTGCACATACTAAATAGCTTGGAACATTCCGTAGTCAAGGCAGACACAAATAATGGTCAATGGAGCCATTTTTCTTTCAAATTCATGGCATTAAAGATTGTGCTAAAATGGCTTCATATACACTGTGCGACACTGGCAGAGCGAACACAGCATCAGCTCTTTTCTGCGGGGGTTTACGTGCCAAAGCATTGAAGAGCCTCTTGAAAATCAAGAGACTCGTTAAGAATGGGGTCAGTAGCTATCTGTGCCCATAGATGATAAGAAAAAAAACGTGGGGTCTCTTATAAGGATAGATAACTGGGCAAGTTGGTAAGAGTTCATGTTGAAAAACAGTGCGACTGGACAAAAAGAGATAAGAAAATGTTTATGTCGTGCATAAAAGGCATGGCCTACCAGATTCCCTTCTCTTGTGGGCACTCTTATATCGGGCAGACTGGCCGGTGCTTAAACATCCGTC